TGTGGTTTGCATCTTTTACACCTGCATTGGAGGTCTGAAGGCGGTGGTTTGGACGGATGTCATCCAAACTTTGATCATGTTTGGGGCGATGGCCCTGGTTTTGATCAAGGGAACCATGGATATCGGAGGACCCGGAGTTGTGTGGCGAAAGGCCCAGGAGACGGCTCGACTGGAGAGACCCAATTTCAGTGGGGACCTGAGTGAGCGATATACGTTCTATTCCCTGGTTTTGGGCGGTGTAGCCCATTGGCTCAAGTCGAATGCAATTAGTCAGAATATGATACAGAGGTACTTGTCGCTGCCAACGCTTCGAGATGCACGGATCGCCATATGGACTTTCATAGCTGGCGTTCTGGCCTTCCTGATGATCTGTGGTTATACGGGTCTTTTGATATATGCCACCTATGCCCAGTGTGATCCCTTGGAAACCAAATTGGCCCAGAGAAATGATCAGCTCTTGCCGCTTTTGGTGATGGAAACTTTGGGCGACTATCCGGGATTACCTGGTGTTTTTGTAGCCGGAGTTTTCAGTGCAGCACTATCTTCTTTATCGACGGGATTGAACTCCCTATCGGCCGTGGTCCTTGAGGATTTCGTGAAGACCTTTAGGAAGAGTCCACTGAGCGAGGGACAAACCGCTTTTGTAATGCGAAGTGTGGTCGTTGTATTTGGCTTTATTTTCGTGGCTCTGGTTTTTGCCGTGGAGAAATTAGGTGCCGTTTTGCAGCTGACCATCACCCTTTCATCGGTGGCAAATGGACCACTTTTGGGAATCTTCACCGCCGGCGTTATGTTGCCATGGGTTAATTCCAAGGGAGCTCTGCTCGGAGGATTCAGCTCTTTGATTGTGATGGCCTGGATGTGTGTGAGTGCCCAGCGGGATCTGGTCACCGGGGATCTCGTCTATAAGAGGAAGCCATATTCCACGATGGGCTGCAATTACACGTTTGCCGGAGAGCCGCGGGAGTTCGCCAGTCTGGCTCTAGATGGTAACATCAGGTGAGCAATGGTTAATCTAAAGTAGAGTTTCCTAATTTCTGTATACCTAATATTGAAACAAAGTGTGTTTCTACACAGCAAAATTTTTAAAAACAGTTTAATGATGTTCGAAATACGCATAACAGATCTTTTGCAAAATTCTAAAGAATTCGCGTTACTTGGTTTTTAAACGTATATAAGTTCTTTCACATAATTCTAATGAATTCACATGACCTTTTCGATTTCATTCTAATTTTTCTCTTTATTAAAACAGTTGTAAATGCTTTTAAAAATTGTCAAGACCCTAAAACAATGACTTTTATGCTTTTTTAACATAGATATAACGTAGTGCTGTAGAATTCGATTTTTTTTCTCCCGATATATCTATTGTTGCTATATTTTGGTATGTTTCTTTGCAGTTCCAGTCCGAGTACTCCCTTCCAGCTGTACCGCATCTCGTATCTCTATTTCACACTCTTCGGAGCCCTGGTGACCATTGTAGTGGCCCTGGTCACCAGTCTCCTGCTCCGGGAATCGGATTTGGATGGAGTGGACACCCGTCTGCTCACACCGTTCGTGAGGCGCTGGTTGGAGCGACGTCGTCATCGCCGATCAGAGATTCCAGATCCTGGCCAGAAGGCCGTCAACAAACAGGAGACGAAAACGTGAAGGGGTTTATGTGGCGGTTCATGGAGATGGAGAAGGCTGACCGGCATCATCCTGGCAATGTTCCTTTCGGTAGCTTAGCAAATATTTAAAATAAAACACAATTCATAATTATTTGGGCTCCTGTTGTCCTCTCCGAAATGGGTTCAAAGCAGTTTCCTGCGCTGCTTTCTCTGTAATTAGAAAAATGCCCGCAGTTATGGCCCAGGACTCGAAAAAGGGGCGCGTGCAGAAAGGGGCGGGGATGGGCACATATAACCCGACCCGACAAATCAAAGCGCCGGCTGCCCAAATAGAAGGAACATCACAAAAAAAATAAGTACGGGTAAGAAAATATGGGTTATATAACCGACTATTTATATACTCTTTAAAATGTAAGGGAAGTTGCAAATGTTATGGTTTATATGACTTTTCTTTTGATGGTAATCACTAAAAATATAGCAATAAAACTAAATTGATCCGAGATCATATGGATTAAATAAAAAATTTTCTTAAATTCCTGATTATAATTAAAATTATTAAGGCAATCTTTTGAAACTATATTTTGGCTAAAAAAAAAGACAAGAAAATTTAAAATAAATTAAGCATCCTTTAACCAGGTACAAGGGACTTAAAGGAGTATTACCTATAATTTAAATATTTTATAAGCCCCTTTGATAACCATGCCCCCAGCAGAAGTGTAAAAATATAAGAAAAAAGGATCAGAACTAGAGAGCCCCTGTTTCGAGTGAGGGTTCCGCTTTCAAGTGCCAGGCACAAGTGATTGGGCTGTGAACTCTGTCTGGCCAAGGTCAAGTGGGCGGTTGGGGGGGTGGCCGAAAAAGCACAGGGGGTGTGGCTAACCCAAAGGGTTCCGTTTTCACATTAGTTTTACCCTGTGCCGTTAATTGAATATTTACTGCTTTTCATGTGTGGTCAGGTCAGTCTGCATCCGAGTGGGCCCAACTATTCTGCCGGGGTCACCGAACCCCCAACCCCCCCAAACCTTATTTGTATGTTTAGGTCGTTTATGCAGCAAATTGAATTGTTAATGAGCTGACAAATGTTTGCGAAATTAGTTTTTGCCTCAGTCAGAGTGTGCAACTCCTTCATATACTTGCCCCAAACTTTTATCGATGATGAAGACGACATCTGCTAGGGGTACATATAGGTATATACATCGTATAGCTATGACTGTGCAGGTAAAAACTTGTTACCCACTCCCATGGATTTGTGTCTCTTAATTAGCCGACTGCAAAAATAATTTTGCACAAAAGAGAGACAGCGGCGAAAATGTCATCAGAATGCATAATGACAGTTTCCGGACTGTGTGGGTTTTTAGTTTTTCTCTTTATCCGTTTTTTGAAAATCTGGACAAAAGCGGAGATGGCACAGGTGCGCCACCTCGCGGCATATTCAAAAACTATGCTGTATGCATGGCCAGTGACAGGGGTTGAGGGTTAAGGGTTAAGGGGCTTGGGGTTTAAGGGGGTTAAGGGGCTAGGGGGCTAAGGGGGCTAGGGGTCAGGGGCCAAGGGGCAGGGGAGCAGCGACAGTTGTCATATGGGTGGATTGTTTTTTGGCCACGGCAGGAAACGGAAGCTGGCAGCGCTAACGTGCCAAACTGCCAACTACAAAAGCCAACAACTCCCCGCTCTGTTAACTTGTTTATGTCGCCGTGTTGCTTTTGTGTTACTTTTTATGCTCGAATATAATTTGCTCACTCCCCAGCCCATTCTGCCACTCAATACCCTTTTGTCTTATACAAAGCCATAGAGGTTATATCGAACTTTAGGTTAAAATATTTTTAGAATATAGTATGGAAAAATATTTAATACATGTTATATTACATGGTTTTTTTTGATCAATTGACTTTAAAAAAATTTATTTTATAAAATTGTGGATATTATTGATTTTTCATATTTGGCATATGATATGATATCATATGAATTTAGACATTTATAAAGAGTATCGGTTTAAGTTCCTCACAAATATTTTTCAATACAAACTAGCATGGTTTTATCTCAAAGTTTCTTAAAAAACATTCCAAAAATCATTATCAGTTAGAGTATCTTAAATAATACGTTTCCACCTCTGAGATTTCCGCACAACAAAGCCTTCGCGTATGTAGTTCCTGTTTCCTAATTTTCACAATTTTCAGATGCCTGCTGGCCATATAAATGCCAGTGACAATTTGCAAGGGGCCAACCCCCAAAACCCTTAACCCCTTAACTCACCTCTTTTATTTTTGTGGTGGGGGGGCCAGGCACAAAAGTCATTTTTGATTGTTTTCATGAAAATGAGCATAGAAAAATTATAATTAAAATTCATATGGAAATTGTCGAAAAAAGCAGCCACTACAAAATGGAAGGCGAGAACAATGGCCCACTGATGTTGTTGTTGACCAAAAGATTTCATCTAAAAGAGACCCAAGAAATGCAGTGGTCGAAAAAGAGGGGCGCTGAGCTGCGGGTTTATTGTTTGCGGGGAACATGTGTTCTGCCAGAACCCCTTCCTTTTACTCGGCTTTCCCCCAATCTTTTCCTGCCAAAACAATGTCAGCTTACAGAATTAGAAGAGCGCTGAAAGGGGTTAAAAGGGGCAGTTTAGAAGGGAGCAGGGGGTGGCCTCTACCTGTGCACCACACACATATATATAAAGAAGATCACTGAAAAAACGGGAACTATTTATTTGCAGATCCAAGAAGTATATCTCTAATATGTCTGCAAGATATATTTTTAAGAGCTTGGTGGTTTTTCTGGCTGTGATGTAAGGCCCTGTGAAATATATTAAAAATACAAATATATATAGTTTATTAGTTCCATATTATAAGATCTCCTTCCAAGTAATTGAAAATCCCTCTCAAATATCGGGTAATTTTCTTCTGTGTACACAAAAACACAATGGTCAGAGGAGCCAGATGGAAAAACGCATGCCGGCTGCTCATTTTCTTGTTGTCGTTTCATTTTTGGCACTTTTATGCGATAAAATATTTAATTATATTCGGCAGCTTCGTTTGTGCATTGTGCGGTGGTCTTTCACAGCCTTTTTAGCCCATTTTACATCACCTTGGGGAGTGGGCGTGGCTGAAATTGCAATTTGAGTGCCTGCCTCAAAGTATGCAATGATTTCGGATGCCTTTTCCTTTTGAAAATGGTTTACAGTGATTACAAAAGGGTACATAGAGCATATATACGGTGAAGATGGTCTTCTAAAAACCAAAGATTATTGTTAAAAGTACGCATCTTTAATATTTAACAAAAGATTATATATTTTTTGGTATTTGAGTCCCATTTGTCTGACTTTTTAATACTTTGGGATAGGAATTCATTATAATTAACCAGTTACTTAACCATAGGTTAAGAATATGTAATATGTATACTGTTAGAATTTTAAGTTTTATTAATTGTTAGTCATATCATCAGTAGTTAAGGAAAAAAAAGGTAATCATAGATACTTTCTTTTATCCTGTACTTAACTATAGGTTAAGTACACATTAACTGCTAGTTACTTGAATGAATATTGGCATAGGTAGTTATTGAAGGTCAACAAAATTTATCAGTAGTTAAGGAAAGGAAAAAGGTAATCATAGATACTTTCTTTTATCCTGTACTTAACTATAGGTTAAGTACACTTTAATTGCTAGTTACTTGAATGAATGTTGGCATAGGTAGTTATTTAATGTCAACAAAATTTATAGTTAACTTGGAAACTTCCGCTCCTAACCAGTGGCCACTGTAGTTGGGGCTCTGGTTGTGGTGGTCGTGGTGGTTGTGGTTGTCGTCGTTGTGGTGGTCAAAGGTCGCTTGATGATCGTTATCCGTATGCAACCGGCATGATCCGGATGCTCACCGATGGGTGCCGTGTCGCCAGGGGTTAAGCACTCCAGGGCAATCAGCAGGGCGACTATGTACGCTATGGACTGCCTCATCGTGATCCTCGGCTACAGAACTCCCCCGAACAACTGATCGAGTTCCATGGGGGCTCCATTCATTTTTATAGTTTGCTCTTCTTGCAGCTCCATTCAATTGGCCACAATGACGACGGACAATTGAATATGCTGTATCAACAAATGCGATCGCAAATTGCAGCCTCATGGGTCGTGCGATCTGGCCGATCCGATATATACTGTAGCCTATGTATTTCCCAACATCAGATAGCCCTAATTTCATTTATTGTCGCTGAACTTTTGTCGCATTAATGCCGATTTTAATCGCTGTGTGGCGGGAAGTCCGGGTAACTCGGTTTAGAAGTTTGAAATTCATACATTGAAATCGAACAAAAGCCATAAGATTTCAGATAGTATATCCATTAAATTTTACAAAACTTCGGAACTGGAATTTTGATCAAAATATTTTAATTGAGCTCTTTTATGTGCTTTAATAGGCTATTTTCACCTTTCATTTTGTTTAATTCCGGGATGACAAATTTATTTCATTTCAAAAGATATTCAACTGAAAACCAAATGAAGGCCAGAACAATTATTTAGGTATTAATATAATAATAAAAAAAATTATTAAAATAATTATAATAATCAATAACTTACCTACCATTACGTATATATCTTAGCCTTATATTTATCTTCAGGCCTGCTGCTGCTATAGCTCTAAAATCAACCCTCTCTTAGCCTAGATTTTTAACTAAAAGATAGCATTAAATAATAATAATATTATTAAAACATAAATATATACTTAAATATATAAATCTAATCAAAATGTTTATCATTTTGTGAGACCTTTTATGAATAATACACTGACTAAAAACTCGTAATACACTTTTACCATTTATTTGTCTTATAAAAAAATTAAAAATATGCAAAGATTACCTTTGAAAATACTTTTGTGTCATTTTTTATTTATTTAATCCCTAACGGATAAATCTTTCGCTGGCAACAATTATTTAACTTAAATCTATTTCTTAAAAATATTATTTTAAAAATATTTCTTAAGGGTTTGTTTGAGCATTACTTTTATGGCCTCACAACTGAATCGAATCCTTGCTTAATATATTTCGTACAATGAAGTAAATGTTAAAATGGAATTAATATACAAAGAGCGTTTGAATTTACCTACTCTATAATTTATTTATTATAGACATGTATACCTATTTCTTAAATAATTAAAATATCGTTTTCTTTTTTGCTGGAATGGTTTTTTTATTTTAATGCTGAAGTACTACATAGAGATAGGTTTCACAATAGAGTTCGTTTTGAAGGTTCGTCAATGGGTTCAGTCCGGATTTATATACAGAGTTATGCTGTCCATTTATCCCGAAGGGCTGGCGGTGGTGTTGCGGGGTGGAGGAGGAGCACCACGCGGTGGTGGTGAACCAGTGGTGTTGCGATGATGACCGGCGGACTCCAGTCCACGCACCAAATTAATGGCAGCCATGGACGATTGCTAAAAAAATACATTTAAATATTTTTAAAAATCTGTTCATTATCTAAAATTTATTTGAATTTTCACTTACCAGCAGACAGCAGCTCAGGGCCAAAAAGAACAGCAGATAGAAACGCATCTTGATGTGGAATGGTTGACATTGGCCTCGAAAAGCTCGCTTTTATGGCTCTCGCTTGTTTACCTGACTTTGAACAAATCCATATGGGGTGTACCTCTGTAATTACTACTGTAATTGGTTCGTCATATTAAATGACTAATTCAGGTGTTGATTTTGTAATAATATTATTTCAACTCGACCGCAATTATCTTGTGCACTGAAGCTCTCTCTTTTCCGATTAGAGAACTGTGTTTTGGTTGCAGTTTGTGTGTGTTTATTTGCGTCTAGGTCGAGGTTACCTATTAATAACTATTGTAATTTGTTTCTATTTCTGTCTGTCTTGTACAATCTAATTTTTAAATAATTTGGGTTTACTTTCAAACCAATCATTGGCATTCTTTTTTCTGTTTGCTTGCTGAGCACACGTTCCAATAAATAGATGTCCCTCTAAGAGCATATATATCAACCACCCCCGACTAATAAATAATGCCATAAGCCACTCAAGATTGCAGCACTCGTGACTTGTCGTCAGGCATTTGATGAACTGCCACAGGATGTGGATATATATTTGGATTGGCATTGAGATTTCAGATTCCACAATCCAGATAGGCATAAACGTGTCGGGAAAGTTTTATGACCAGTTCCTTTTACCTTGTGCAAAATCCCCCATCGAATCGTGTGACTGAACTTTGACATATTTGTAACACGGAGAAAAAAATAGATCAATTCATAAAATTTTATAATAATATATCTGGAATCTATTTGTAATTGAAAGAACCTAAAATCCTGAACATATTATTTTTCTCAAGTCAATAATCTATCACTCCCGATTTTAATGATATGTATTTATTATTTAAATGAATATACTTTGCTTTAACAATAACCGTTTGATTTGGTTCCATTTTATATTAACATAGAAGTCTAAAAATAAGTATATAAATATTTTTCTTTAGTGTATCAAAGCCAAACCCAGTCATAAACTACCTAATGCCGGCAAAAAGCAGGGGAAGGTATCATAAAAGTCCCCAAACCGAAGTCGGTGGCCCACTTTTATTGGGTTTTTACGATAAGCCTGGCTGCGTGTATCTTTTTTTTTTTTAGGATTCTTCTTATTTTTGCCAATGATGATTCGAAAAGCACTTTCGGCGCAAATTGCAGCTGTTATCGCTGATCAAATGGCATAAAGGACGCAGGACTCCATAGATATATTGTATATATTCCTATGGGTGATATACACAGGCACAAATCTGGCGAGTGTCTCCGGTCAGAGAATGCAAATCAAACAAACAAACAATAAATTGAATCAGGACATTGTTGAATGTAACAGATAGCCCCAAAAACAATGGGCAAGGCAGGCTGAACGCATGCATATCCTGGAGACATTAAGGATATCCTTGAGTAGATGCAATTTTCTAACCAATATAATTCATAAATTTATTTTCAATCCTTTCCGCACATAAATTTTCATATTATGCACACTCACTCACAGACAGTGGTCGTCGTCCTTACCTCGACCCTATTTTTCTCCCCGGCCTATTGTCCTGCGGCATGTCCTGTGTGCGTTTGGTTATTATTTGTCGTCGTGCTTGTCATTATTTATATGGGCAGGCGAGAGATAAGTTGCTGCAATTGTGGCACCCCCCTGAAATGGCCCCAAAACCCCATCCCCCAAACAGGATGCAGTCCAGGTCCTGGCAATTACACAAGCACAGATACAAAGATACAAGGATGCAAAATGTCCTTCGGTGCGTACGTGTGTGTATGTGTGTGCGCTTGTTTGCAGGTTGTTGGCCCAAAATTTTGATTTATAAATGCCAACACCGAGCTAGCAGGTTATACCTTATAGCACCACCCACCTCAGCCATCCTTGAAATTTCCCCCAGGAAACTGCAGTTACTTTTGGCTGACAAACGTCCCCAGGATCTGAGGAGAGTGCAACTCAAGTGGCCATTAATATATCAGTTCAATTCATATTTGAAATTTTGCATTTCCTAACAGGACGAGGAGCGAGAAACGAGAAATGAGGACGAGGCCGAGCCACAGATCCTTGCCCAGCTGGCACCTAGATATAACCACTCCTTCGCCCGGAATTCCCCCGCTCCCGACCACGCATACGATTATGATTTGTGTCTTACTTAATGCACAGAGTCCTACGAATTTCACACACTTGGCGAAATAGTTGAGGTAAAAATTCAAGTTTGAAATAAGATGATAACTAAAATTACTACCAAAGTATAATACGCTTAGTAAATATAAATATAAATATATATAAATATAAATAAATATAAATAAGTATTTTAAAATATTTAATATAAACGTATAAACATAGTTAGATATATTTTTTTAAGATCCTTTATTATACTCTCTGTGAAAACACTTAAATATTAATAAAAAATTGTACAAATGGGTCTGAAGATTATACTGATTATCTACGATCCATTTAGTTTCGCTGTTTTAAAATATTCAAATAAAATCTTACCCAAGATAGAAAATTCTTGAATTCTAGTCACTAAAAACCCCTAGAATATAAATGTTTATAGGAAAATCTGTTTATCATATACCCCCCCTTTTTCTCGCAGTGCACAAACGGTGCCCAACGGCACTGAACTGAACTGGTTAGCTGTTAGCTGAGTGGAGCCGGCGTCGTCTCAATCTGATTGATTTAGAATTCCAATTGAGACTGCATGAAATATGTTTGCTTCGTGTCTGGCTTCTGGCTGCTGTCGTTGCCGGGGGTCCTGAGAGTCCTTCCTTGGGCCCCTTTGGCCCCTTTGGATCCCCTTGAACCCCCTTAGCCCCCCCTCTGGCGGCACAGCATTTATGCATGGGCATATCCTTTTGCGAAATTTGCATTTTCGAACAATTGCAAACGGCAGTGGGAGCAAAACAGCAGGAAGAGCAGCAGGACAACGACAACGACGACGACTTATTGGTATTTCATTGATTTATGACACTTGTGAAACAATTTGGAAAATCACAGATTAGCAGCCGAGAGCAGCACTAATTATACCCTACGGCTCATTGGGAAAGCACCTGCGACTTTCTCTCTCCCACTCTCTGCCGAATCCAAAATTCTTTGCACTTTGTCATGTAAATCGGTGCTAATTGCAAGGCAAAGGACTTTTACCAGAGGGCTTTTGGTATATTTTAGTTGTGTAAAAAATAAAGTAAATAAATTTCAGGACATCTCCAGATCTCACACTTTATTTTATTTTACTTGTTACGCTGGTGGAGTGAGTTCAAGGAAGAGCACCTTGTGATATGTAAATTAGGAAAAGGTCACCACATATATTCAGTCATTTTAATTGGGCCATCCAAACCGAAACCTAGCCAAGACCTAGCAGAGGTTAACTAAAATCTAAACTTAAAAATGTTCTCTTCCGGAACTCTTCCATCACATACACAGTATATAACACGCCATTTTATGCTCTACTTCTGCTGGCGCCCTCTTATCCAAACTATATCTTAAACCCCTTTTCTAG